TTCTCATCTCTTAATGTGGTAAAGTATGTTACTTGATTTTCTAATGTCAAACCACCCTTGCATTTTCTGGGCTAAACTCAACTTTGTCATGGTGTATTTTATTCATATACAGTTCTGGTTTGGTTTTTTTAAAAGCCTTGTATAATCCTTGTTGGGTTTTGGTATTAAGACATCATAAAATGTACTGGGGGAGCATTTCCTCTTTTTCTGTTCCCTGAAACAATTTAAGAGAAGGGTTATCAGTTCCTGGAAGGTTTGATAGAACTCATCTGTAAAACTATCTAGGCCTTCCTTGTTTTTGCAGCCTCCTGCCCCTCTATCCATACATTGTAAGCTACTGATCCAATTTATTTAATAATTTTGGGACTGTTCAGGTTTTCTCTTTCTTCTTGAGTCATTTTCTTATTGTGGTATAAAATACATAACATGAAGTTTATCATCTTAACCAGTTCAGTTGTGTTAAGTACACTTCTATTGTTGTGAAACAGGTCTTCAAAACTTTTTCAAAATCTTGCAAAACCGAAACTCTATACCTATTAAACAACTAGTCCTTTTCCCCTCACCCAAGCCTTTGGCACTCACCCTTCTACTTTCTGTCTCTATGAATTTGACTACTTTAGATAACTCATATAAGTAGAATCATACAGTGTTTGTCTTATTTCACTTGGCATAATGTCCTCCAGGTCATCTATGTTGTAGCATATGGCAGGATTTCCTTCCTTCTTAAGGAGGAATAATATTCTACTGCATGTATACACTACATTTTGCTTACCTGTTCACCGGAGGATGAACACGCAGGTTGCTTCTACGCCTTGGCTGTTGTGAATAGTCCAACCATGAACATGGGTATGCAAATATCTCTGCTTTCAATACTTTTGGGTATATACCTAGAACTGGGATTCCTGGATCCTATGGTAATTCTATTTTTAATTTTTTTGAGGAACCTCCATACTATTTTCGATGGCAGTTGCACCATTTTACAATCCCACCAACAGTGCACAAGGCTTCTAATTTTTCCACATCCTTGCTAACACTTGATATTTTCTTTTTTAATAGTAACCATCCTAATGGATGTGAGGTGATCTTATTGTGGTTTTGATTTACATTTCTCGATGATTAGTGATGTTGAACATCTTTTCATATACTTGGCCATTTGTATATCATCTTTGGAGTAATGTCCATTCAACTCCTTTGCCCATTTTTTAATTGGATAATTTTATTTTTTAGGAGTTCTTTATATAGTCTGGATAGTAACACCTTATCGGATATATGATTTGCAAATATTTTCTCCCATTGTGTAGGAGTCCTTTTCACTCTGTTGATTGTGTCCTTTGATGCATACAAGTTTTTAAGTTTGATGTAGTCCCATTTGTCTACTTTTGCTTTTGTTGCCAATGCTATTGGTGTTGTTTGTAGGAAGTCACTGCCCATTCCAATGTCATGGAGCTTTTTTCCTACATTTTCTTCAGAAGTTTTATAGTCTTAGTTATTACACTTAGGTCTTTAATCCATTTCAAGTTGGTTTTCCTATATGATGTAAGATAAGGGTTCAACATCATTGTTTTGCACAGTTTGTTGAAGAGACTGTCTTTTTCCATTGAATGGCCTTGGCACCATTGTTGAAGATCATTTGACTATATATGTGAGGATTTATTTCTAGGCTCTCTATTCTGTTCCATTGGTCTATTTGTCTGTCTTCATGCCAGTACCACACTGTTTTAATTCCTGTAGCTTTGTAATATGTTTTGAAATCAGGAAGTGTGAGTCCTCCAAATCTGTTCTTCTTTTTCAGATTTGTTTTGGCTAATTGAGGTCCCTTGAGATTCCATATGAGTTTTAAGGTGAATTTTTCTATTTTGAGTCAGTTTTTGGTAAACAATATTTTCTTAGGAACATGCCCATTTCATCAAAATTTCAAATTTATTAGCATAAAGTCTTTTAGTTTTATTTTATTATGAAGTTTGATGGGTCAAAACCAGATGATAATGCTTAATATTCAGCTATTTTTGACCGATAAAAAATGGCTGTTTCATCTCGCTCAACCTAATACATACAAAAGAGCACACAGCACTTACAGGAATTGTTTAGAGGATGATGATAAAGTGCTACACATAGTCCCCACTGTCAGTGGCAGGACAACATTTCCAGTGCCTTTGAAGCCCCTCCATGTACCCTCTTCCTCCCTAGACAGAGGCAACCACTATCCTTTCCTTGCTTTTCTTTATACTTGTCCCAAATATGAATTCTCTAAATGATATATTATTTA